GGGATAAGGACTCATGGCCTGCAGTGAACACCCAGGTGCCTGCTTCGCCCCCAGATACACAGGAAGTTGCCTGAGAGCCTGGAGGGGCTTCCTGGGCAGCGGCACAGGCTCCCTGAGCAGCATACCTCCAGTTGGAGAGCTTAGCAGAGACGAGGTGCAAATACAAATGAGACCACCAAGGCCAACCTCACTGAGGGACAGCAGTGACACTGAGGACCAGGGAGGAGAGAGAATCCTCCAGTTACTTGGCAACGAGCACTGGGTGCCAACCGTCCAGGGTTCATCCACTGCTTCGCCCTCAGTGTGCCTGGGGTTAGCGATCACTCTCCCGGGCCAGCCCGCTTGGCAGGGCCCTGTGCTCCAGCACCCACCAAGCTCCTCCTAACTACCCACAGGCCTTTGCTGAGCCATCCCCCACCCAACAATCGGACTGAGCTCCCCACTCAGACAGGAACCACACCTCACACAGCAGCCCTGAGCTCTGGGCAGGTCCAAGTGCAGGCTTGCCCACTCTCTCCTAAAGGACACGCGGCTTCTGGGGCCCCAGGACTACCTCAGCCATTCAGAAAGAAGGTGGGGACAGATGGCCTGGCAGCAGGGGAGTCTGTGCTCTATGCCACCTCCAGAACCACATCCTGTCGCTGGGTGAATGCTGAGGGCTGGTCTCCTCTCTCCATGGCCCCCAGTCCCCCCACTCTGAACCCACATCTCCTGAGTAGTCCTGTAGACATCAATCTCTCCTCCAAATGGCCACAAGTGAACCTTCCAGAAACTCTCAATGCTCAAGGCCTTGCTCACTAGCCACACCCCCAACACACGGCCTCTCCTGGCCCTTCCTCAGCCGAGGATCCAGTCTATACACCGGGCTCCATTTCGAGGCCATTCCTTAACAATCTGCCCTTAGGAGCCCTGTCAGCTGCCTCTCCAGTGCCTCCCTGAGCGCACGCCCCTGCCCTGCCCTGGGCACACCACACACCTTGGTTCATGAAGCTCCCTCAGGCTGCAGTGCCCTTCCCCCTTCTCTACCCGGAAAAGTCCCACTCATGCTTAAGTGCTAGTTTGAATGCCATGCTTTCTGGGGAGACCTCCCCATGTGTCCACTCCTCGTGCCTGCATGCCCCCATCACAGTTCTGACTATGGCCTTGGAATCCCCTAGTCATACAGTTCCCTTCTCCATGGCCCTGTCTGACGAAGCTGCCCACGGCCCCCACAGGGCCAGCCCCTCACAGGCATCGCACCCGAATGGGAGCCTCAGAGGCTGTCTCCCAGGGTCTCCTTGCTCCAGGGACCTAAGATCCTGGCACGTAGTAGGCACCCACTGAATACTGACTGCAAGAATGCAGTTCTGATATGCCCGTTTCTCAGACGCCCCCTAAGAAACAAGGCAGGTCTTATGCCACTGCACAGGAGTCTCATCTGGACAGTGTGCATCTCAGGCATCTAGCATGAAGAGAAATGGGACGCAGAGACATAATGGAAATTTCTAATGCTCTGAGGTGAGGCAGGGCATCACATAGAGTGAGAAGGGAAGAACCTAGGTCACGGCCACCTTACCTGGACACATGGCAAATAATTCTGGCCCTCCCCACAGACCCAGGTGCCCCGTACCGGATGCTGTCCCGTTCAGCCACAATCTTGTCCCGCTCCTGGAAGGCCCAGTCCCGCCGGCACTTGGCCACATCTGCCTCCTGGAGGGCTTCCTTCAGCTCCTGGCACAGAGCTCTACACTGCTTTCGAAGGATTTCAGCCTCCTTGTTGGCTCTCCCTGCGTCCATTGTCACCGTGTCTTTGATCTGGTGGGGACAAGGGGCAAGCAGAGGGGGAGGTCACTGGGCCTCTGGCCTGGAGGTGCACTCCACTTAGTGCAGGGCCTGAGGCTGAACTCTCGTGAGCTGAATAGGGGAAACACTGGGATCCCAGCCAAAGCCCATCCCAACACACCCCTGCTGCGCCAGCACCCCAATGACCACAGGCCCCACAGTCATGTCTCAGGGGCCCAGGTGGAATGCCTACCCTGGAGGGCTTGTTCCAGGCTCCGCCCTGCCACTTACATGGTTTATACAGAGAGCCACCACATCTAAGAGCTCTCAGGACCCCACATAATAACGTGAGAGTTGACTGCAGCGAACAGTGCAGACACTGGTCATAATTCCCACCCCTCTATATCTGCATACTAGTTTCTGTGCTCTGGTTTTCATACCCTGGCACACTGGATTATTTTTAAATCTGAATACACAGCAGTATTTTTGCTGGTGAAGCCCTATGTATCTCTGTTAAAAAAGTTGAAATCTGAAGAATTTGCATCTTGACACCTCCCCAAAGCATTACATGCTCTGTTAAAGTTTCAAATCAAACTCTTAGAAGCACTCATATACAAAGTGCCCTCGGTGACCCTCTAACCCCTAGAAAATGCAAAAAAAATTACGAATGATGAAGCAAGTGTCTACTGCAAGAGTAACTCCTACTCTAGCTCAAAGGCTTTCTGAAGACGCAAAATACAAACAAGACATGAGCAGACAGACCAGTTACTGCTGCCTCCACACTGGGCATCTCCACCTCTGAGAGACAAGACTAAGGAGGACAAACACATCAAGGATGCTTTCACCGACTCCACAGCAGACAGAGACGCAGCCTCCACTAACACTCACTCAAAAAGATTGCAAAAGTTCAGCCAAGAGACAAGGATGAGGCAGACAGAGGAACATGTGTGCGATCAGCTTGTAACGCCCCCTT